GAAACGATAAGTTACGCAATAACACAAGCCTACAACCATATAAGTTTAACAGATCTGCTATTGTATCAGCTTCGCGACTCAGGCAACAATTTCAGAACTGATTTTACTCGGCCCCATAGACCCTATGAAAAAAGGTGTGTTTATTAAGATACCTTGGTTCATCAGGTATAGAAGACAACATTGTTCTTTTTTAGGAGAGGAAATTTAAGGTTTGTATGGGAATAACAACCAAGGGCCTACCAGCCTCGCTTTCGTGTTTTTGGTGCATTTCAATGGCTCATAACTGCAGAGATTTAATATATGACAACAGATTTTTCCCAAATTACTAATTTAGACATGGTCTTTCTCGTATCGAAAATATATTTTTGACATCATTTATTGTTCGTGGTGCTATTTCCCTGTCTTATACTTTCTTTTCATAGGCCCCATACGATTACCTATACTACATATTGTATATTCATAGAGTGCTCACACTAAATCCGTGAAACAAATACTAATTTTTAGCACTAAATAGTGATAATTAAACAATAGAAAACAAAGGATTCTGTATGAAATAGTACTAATTAGTACTATTTAATGTTCACGGTTTTAGTGCGTGCACTCTAGTGTTACTACTAAAACTTATGTAAGCAACATCTTCGTTTTTATTGCAATATCTTCACTTTTCAAGTACAGTACTGGTTAGTCTTCTCCGGACCAGCCGTCGTTAGTTCCGTCATTAGACCGAAAGTAATGACAGCTACTGCGGAGGAGACTAAGTACTGGTTCGCGCAGCCTAATTATTCATATCACAGTGGCGGATCCAGGCGAGGGGTACAGGGGGTGCGTACCCCTCCCTGGTTCGACTTTGTGCCCCTACTTCAAAGATTTAACCAATACAAAATAATGTTTTTTCCCTTTGAGTCTAAGGGGTGCACCCCTTGGGTTAACTATGTGCGCTGCACCCCTCCCTGAACAAATTCCTGGATCCGCCCCTGTATCAATATGACATAATCCAATTTGTTTGTCGGTGGTAAACAAAGAAATGACGCGGCGCAATATAACATCGGAAATGTCTGCCGACCTTCAAATTTAGGTAAAAAGTAGTGTCCACACAAGGAAGTAGTTCGGGCGCTGTATAGACCCCTTGCATGTGACGCCAAAGCAGCTCGATCTGGGGGACAAAACAAAAGAATTCCAATCTCCTGAGAATTGGAACCTATTGTTTTGTCCCCCAGATTGAGCTGCATTCCAAAGTGCTGCAAAAGGTCTATCAAAGGACTATATTCACGATTGCCTGGATAAGTGTT